ACGCACACGCACACGCACACGCACACGCACACGCACACGCACACGCACACGCACACGCACACGCACACGCACACGCACACGCACACGCACACGCACACGCACACGCACACGCACACGCACACGCACACGCACACGCACACGCACACGCACACGCACACGCACACGCACACGCACACGCACACGCACACGCACACGCACACGCACACGCACACGCACACGCACACGCACACGCACACGCACACGCACACGCACACGCACACGCACACGCACACGCACACGCACACGCACACGCACACGCACACGCACACGCACACGCACACGCACACGCACACGCACACGCACACGCACACGCACACGCACACGCACACGCACACGCACACGCACACGCACACGCACACGCACACGCACACGCACACGCACACGCACACGCACACGCACACGCACACGCACACGCACACATATTGCTGGAATGTATGTGATGATGTAGTAATCAGTTTTACATATTCAGGTAGCAGTAGTTTGTATGTCTGAAAGTTTTATCTAATTAAAGGAAATCTTTACACATGGTAATCATTATTGTAGTATATTGATCAAACTACAGCATATGTACACCATTTGTCTAATTTTTCTGTTTCTTTCTCCACCAACAGTGAATTTGCAAACAAGTTGTCTCTAGCGCTTTTGTCCAATAGCAACATTCCTCTTCAGAAGCTTGACCTCTCCCACAACCCCATTGAGGACAAAGGTCAGGGGCTAAACAGCTTGTGGATGTCAGTTGTTGTGTGTGTGTTTGTCTGTGTGTGTGTGTGTTTTAATTGATATTTGTTATTGCCTTTCCTGTATGGAACAAACACAAACAAACAAACTCATTTAGCAACAGAATAGTGGTTTGAGGTGTGTGTGCTTTCTCCCTCCATTCCTCATTTTCTGATAGAGTTAGAAGTCTATAACACTATTCTTGAGTTGATAATACTATTTAGGCTTCTGTTTCATTAGTAATCTGTCTGTTTACTCCTTCATTGGATTTTTAATTTGTAAGCCTACACCTAAGTATTGAGTTAGTGATTAAGTATGTACTATATATTTTTAATTTCCCCCAGTTCTCTGTTATTTCATTAACCAGTAATCTGCAGGTAATTACGTTCATGAATTTTTTTTTGTCCGTCAATCTTCAAACCTCATAATTTTTTTATGGTTGTCCTTGGCATCAGATTACTTCAAACTTTAACTTGTCAAGTAATTGTTTATGTATGTTTTTGTAAATATTATTGTTATGATTATTACAAATAGAATAACTGGCCATTTATTTGTTTGACTATTAATAAGTCATTCACTCAGTTATTTAGTCACAGGCTATTGTACTCCCTCTTTTGTTCAATCCTGTGAAAGATAGTTTATCCTCTCATTCATCATTTCATTGAATGATGGGACTATTCATGATTTGTAATATATACATATATATATTAGGTTATATGCCATATTTATAATGGTAATTACCTACACACATGTACACACACACGCACATGCACACGCACACGCACACGCACACGCACACGCACACGCACACGCACACGCACACGCACACGCACACGCACACTCTCACTCTCACTCTCACGCACACGCACACGCACACGCTCACTCTCACACTCACACACACACACACACACACACACTCACACACACACACACACACACACACACACACACTCACTCACTCACTCACTCACTCACTCACTCACTCTCCCTCTCCCTCTCCCTCTCCCTCTCCCTCTCCCTCTCCCTCTCCCTCTCCCTCCCTCTCCTCTCTCCTCTCCCTCTCCCTCTCTCCTCTCCCTCACTCTCACTCTCACTCTCACTCTCACTCTCACTCTCACTCTCACTCACTCACTCACTCACTCTCACTAATACATGTACACATATGGCTATACATATTTAGTTACTTTGAATTTTAATACTTTCTATACTAGTACTAAAACAGATTATAGTTTTTTGAAAGTTGCTTTTGATTTAATTTTGATATACTTTTCAAAAGTAAGGACATAAAGACAATGATACTGAGTTGTTGACAGTTTATCTTTCAATGACAGTTGCAGATGACATAGCTTTTTTTTTTTTTTTTTTTTTTATATTCTTTCCCCCCAAAGCATATAGTTTATGACCTCCATACTTGACTTTAAAGAATGCTCCCCATATTTTTCCTGCATCGGGTAAGGTGCCTAATTGCGAAATAGTTAAGAGCTAGCAGATTCGAAGATTTCTCGTTAGAAAAGATAAACAAAAAAATAAAGCCGTTTTGGGAGTATTGATTTTTTTTTTTTTTTCCCCTTTTACGCCTTTACCCCAACAGGTTTAAGCAATCTGTGCGGTCTGGTGGCCAAGCTGTCTCCGGTGGCAGGGGGTTTGTTATCATCTAAAATTGCTGTTTTATTTTCTATTTTTTTCTCTCTATATATATAATTGCGGTATTATTACCCGCAAGTGCTGTCCTACTGCTGGCTGGGTATACTGACTGACTTGTGGGTAATTTGGCTGTGGTTGTTGTGCCGCGCTCGTGCTGGTATGCTAACGCTGCTGTCCAATCTCGATGATTATATCCCTGTGATCTGCTGTAATGAGTATGCATGATTTTATCCTCACTTTTGGCTTTTCGGAAGATAATTCTCTCCCTTTGAGCTTCCTTGATTTACGTATGGAGAGTAAATCGTGGCACCAGTGGAAATTAAATTATCGAGATGGGATTGTACATGTCATACTTCCTAAGGTTGTTGCATTGTCCTTTGGGGGAAGTCTCTCGGGTGCGTTTGTCCGATGTTGGAGACCATGTGGCTATCGTTTGTGCATGTCCCCATAGGTCAACATCATAACACGACAGGTGGATGGTACTCTCAACAGGAAGCCGAGTAATTCGCTCTTTCGTCTGTTGGGACGTAGTTGCATTTTGACTGACCAGTGTTTGTTTCCTTTTGAACATTGTATTTTTTTTTTTTTTACTTTTTTTTTATGGGTTGCTTGTAAATATCCCTTTCACGAGACTTGGACATCGATAATGTAGAAATTACCTTCAAGTACAATTACAACTAATTACTTCCTTTTTTTTTTCTAATGGGACATTAATGGCCCTAAAAAGAGCTGTTCTCAAACTGTGTTTGTAGGATAGAGGGAATAATAAAAGGTTCAGAAATTTTATTGGTATAAACTTACTGCTGACATGAAATCAAAGACAAATAAGCTACCATTGTTTTCAGGATTTAAAAGACAAAACAGAGGTTTGTGAGTGATCATAAAAAGATAGGTAGCTGTAAACTAAATAGTCATTGACTCTGGACACTTATTATTGTATGGAAAAATAAGTGTTGTTTTTTTTGTTTTGTTTTTTTACCTATATTGACTTCTTTTCTAATGATAAAACTTTTATGTATGTATTTAATGATATTCTATGATTCTTTTGATTGGAATATATTTTTTGGGGGTTTGCATTATGTTAATCAAAATGGATTTGAATATATGTTTGGTCTTTGCCTGATATTTTTGTTTGCTGGGTTTTCAAGAATGATTGTTATAACTGGTTTAGCAAGCAAGAGCTGAAAGGGTGATGAGAGTCTGTCTGTCACTCATGGTTTATGTATATGGTAATAGTTTTCTATCCTCCCCCTTGTCTAATCTCTTTTTGTTAACTCTTTCCCCCTTCCATCATTTCTCCCACCTTCCTTTTCTCCTCTATCTATCTATCTCTATCTCTGTCTCTATCTCTATTACTATCTCTATCTCTATCTCTATCTCTATCTCTATCTCTATCTCTATCACTATCTCTTTCTCTCTTGCTCCCTCCCCCCTGTCCTCCATCCTTCTTTCCCTTTTTCTCTCCTTTCCTTTGTCTCTCCTTCGCTGTATCCGTCCCTCAGTCCTCATTTTTCTTCCTTCCTTTTTTCCTCCCTTTGTTACCTTCTATTCTCCCTTTCCCATATACCAACTTCCCTCTCTCTCTTTTTCTTTCTCTCTCCGTGTTTCTTTTTTTTCTCCAATTTCGCTGTCTTTTTCTCAGTCTCCCTCACTACATTTCTCTCTCTTTCCCCCTCTCCCTCTTCCAGTTTTCATTCCCTCTTTCCCTTTGCCATTCTCACTTTTTTCCCTGTGAAAATGTTGCATAGTTTTGCAGTCTGTGGTTTCTGCAGGATGTGAAGGAGCTTTGGGTAGTTTGGGTTAAAAAGTCATTTGTGATTTGTGTGGGCACTCAGAATGGGATATTTGTCACAAGTTAAAAAATAACTGCAATAGAGTACACATCTTGTATTTTAAAGGTAGGTGTGTTTTGGACATGTATTAGATTGTGGGATTAAGAGTGTAAACTGCTTTGTTGATAGTATTCTTTATGCATATGATATTATATATGTGATTATTAGGGCTTGATAAGACACTTGTAATTTTTTATTTTTTAAAATGCTGATTGAGAAGAAGAAGAGAAGCTATACATAGATGTTGGAGCATAGTAAGAGAACCATGAACGTGCAAGATTTCAGACTTGATGTGTATATTTCTCAAAGGTTGACTGTTGATTGGTCACTGGATATATTCTTTGGAGAAATGGAAAGGCAGACAAGCATTGTGTGCATGCTGCTAAAACCCACACTGTGACACCCAGCAGAGTTTAAAATAAAGAATGTATTCAGTTTATAGATTAGGATATTTAAAGTTGTATAAAGCAAGTGGATGAGTGTGTGAATGAGGGAGTGGATGAGTCGGTGGGTGGGCAGGAGGATGTTTGTATGGGTTAGCAAACAGGTGAGTGGGGGGGGGGGGGTCTTGTGTACTTGGATGCATGGTTGAGTGAGTGGATAAGCAACTGAATGAGTGAGGGGAAAGGTAGGCGGCTAGATGGTAAGGGAATGAGTGAGTGAATGACTAGGTGAGTGAGTGGGTTGTTTGGGTGGGCAAGCAGGTGAGTAGTTATATGTGTTAAACTTATGAGTGAGTGAATAAATGGTTGAATCTGTAGACGCTGA